TGGATGGAAACAGAGACTTACATGGATGGAAACAGAGACTGGGTAATGGATGGAAACAGAGACTGGGTCATGGATGGAAACAGAGACTGGGTAATGGATGGAAACAGAGACTGGGTCATGGATGGAAACAGAGACTGGGTCATGGATGGAAACAGAGACTGGGTCATGGATGGAAACAGAGACTGGGTAATGGATGGAAACAGAGACTGGGTCATGGATGGAAACAGAGACTGGGTAATGGATGGAAACAGAGACTGGGTAATGGATGGAAACAGAGACTGGGTAATGGATGGAAACAGAGACTGGGTCATGGATGGAAACAGAGACTGGGTCATGGATGGAAACAGAGACTGGGTCATGGATGGAAACAGAGACTGGGTAATGGATGGAAACAGAGACTGGGTAATGGATGGAAACAGAGACTGGGTCATGGATGGAAACAGAGACTGGGTCATGGATGGAAACAGAGACTGGGTCATGGATGGAAACAGAGACTGGGTAATGGATGGAAACAGAGACTGGGTAATGGATGGAAACAGAGACTGGGTAATGGATGGAAACAGAGACTGGGTAATGGATGGAAACAGAGACTGGGTAATGGATGGAAACAGAGACTGGGTAATGGATGGAAACAGAGACTGGGTAATGGATGGAAACAGAGACTGGGTCATGGATGGAAACAGAGACTGGGTAATGGATGGGAACATATACTGGGTAATGGATGGAAACTGGGTAATGGATGGAAACAGAGACTGGGTAATGGATGGAAACAGAGACTGGGTAATGGATAGAAACAGAGACTGGGTAATGTGATCCAAGATGGCGAAGTAGTGCAGTCCTGTTTCTGTCGTGTGTCTGTAAATAGCCTGTAAATACCCTGTTTTTTTGTATTTTTCGTACATATTTCCCTATCAGACTTTTCATCCTTCTACAAAATATACTTTCCTTCAACCCGCCTCACTCAATGTGGAACGGATTCTATTATTGACTTACCTTTTATCTAGAATCTAGAATCTCCAGTTGAAACTAGCTAGCCAGCTAACTAGCTACTTGCTATTAGCCACAGCTAGCGGTGTTTCACCCAGATCATTGGATTTTTTTCCGCGGGATTAATTTTAATCACTGGACATTGATCACCGGATATTCGGCCAGTCTGCACAGCGCGTTATCGACCCAGAACATATCAGTTTTTCTGCCGGAATCACTGATTCTCTGGACCTTTAACTCCGGATTCATCGCTACCAGCTGGCTACAACAACAACAAAACGGACGCTGTGGTCTGGCTAATCATCCCGAGCTAGGCCCATCTCCCGGCTATCTACCTCTCTATCAACCGGACGGGACCACCTAGTGTTGACACGGAGCCCCGCCGATCCTACACGACTGGTCTGCCGACGAAATCGTCTGATGTGGTTACGACGTTAACCACGAAGATTCCATCCATCTGCTAGCCCTGGCCCGTTAGCACACGTTATCCGTGGCCTCTTACTCACTAAACTGAACTAGCTACTGAACTAGCTACTTGCTATTAGCCACAGCTAGCGGTGTTGCACCCAGAATATTGGATTTTTTTTCCGCGGGATTAATTTTTAATCACTGGACATTGATCACCGGATATTCGGCCAGTCTGCACAGCGCGTTATCGACCCAGAACATATCAGTTTTTTCCGCCGGAATCACTGAATTCACTGGACCTTTAACTCCGGATTCATCGCTACCAGCTGGCTACAACAAAACGGACGTAGCACACGCTAGCCGTGGCCTCTTACTCACTAGCGCTTCACCACCGGACCTTATGATAACTCAGCTATACAGCTGATATCTGCTGGACTGTTCCTTTTTACGGTACTACATCCTGTTTATGTTTAGCCTCAGCCCAAACATGGTTAGTTTATTGTTGTTTCGGTTATTTCTAATTGTACTATATCACTGTAGACCCCCCAGCCTAGCTAAACCTGCCTTAGTTAGCTCCTTTGTCCCTCCGCCCATACACTCAGAGACCGACTCAATTGATGCCTCTAGAGATACTATCTCTTTCATTGTTACCCAACGCTTAGGTTTACCTCCACTTTACTCATATCCTTCCATATCCTTGTCTGTACATAATGCCCTGAATCTTTTCTATAACACCCGGAAATCTGCCCCCTTTATTCTATGTACCCAACGCACTAGAAGACCAGTTCTTAAAGCCTTTAGCCGTATCCTTATTCTAGTCCTCCTCTGTTCCTCTGGTGATGTAGAGGCTAACCCAGGGCCTGTAGCCCCCAGTATCACTCCTACTCCCCAGGAGCTATCATTTGATGACTTCTGTAATCGCAAAAGTCTTGGTTTCTTGCACATAAATATCAGAAGTCTACTTCCTAAGTTTGAGATATTCACTGCGTTAGCACACTCTGCCAACCCTGATGTTCTAGCAGCGTCTGAATCCTGGCTCAGGAAGGCCACCAAAAATTCTGAAATTTCCATCCCCAACTATAACATTTTCCGTCTAGATAGAACTGCCAAAGGGGGTGGAGTTGCAATCTACTGTAGAGATAGCCTGCAGAGCTCTATCATACTATCCAGGTCTGTGCCCAAACAGTTTGAGCTTCGACTTCTAAAAATCCACCTTTCCAGAAATAAGTCTCTCACTGTTGCCGCTTGCTACAGACCCCCCTCAGCCCCCAGCTGTGCCCTGGACACCATATGTGAATTGATTGCCCCCCATTTATCCTCTGAGTTTGTACTGCTTGGTGACCTAAATTGGGATATGCTTAATACCCCAGCCATCCTACAATCCAAGCTAGATGCCCTCAACCTCACGCAAATTATCAACGAACCTACCAGGTACAACCCTAAATCCTTAAACATGGGTACCCTCATAGATATCATCCTGACTAACATACCCTCTAAATACACCTCAGCTGTCTTCAACCAGGATCTCAGCGATCACTGCCTTATTGCCTGCGTCCGTAACGGGTCTGCGGTCAAACGACCACCCCTCATCACTGTCAAACGCTCCCTAAAACACTTTAGCGAGGAGGCCTTCCTAATTGACCTGGCCCAGGTATCCTGGATGGATATAGATCTCATTCCGTCAGTAGAGGATGCCTGGTTGTTCCTTAAAAGTAATTTCCTCTCAATCTTAAATAAACATGCCCCATTCAAAAAATACAGAACTAAGAACCGATATAGCCCCTGGTTCTCCTCAGACTTGACTGCCCTTGACCAGCACAAAAACATCCTGTGGCGTACAGCATTAGCATCAAATAGCCCCCGCGATATGCAACTTTTCAGGGAAGTTAGGAACCAATATACACAAGCAGTCAGGAAAGCAAAGGCTAACTTTTTCAAACAGAAATTTGCATCCTGTAGCACTAACTCCAAAAAGTTTTGGGACACTGTAAAGTCCATGGAGAATAAGAGCACTTCCTCCCAGCTGCCCACTGCACTGAGGCTAGGAAACACTATCACCACCGATAAATCTACAATAATCGAGAATTTCAACAAGCATTTTGCTACAGCTGGCCATGCTTTCCATCTGGCTACCACTAACCCGGCCACCAACTCTGCACCCTCTGCTGCAACTTGCCCATGCCCCCCCCGCTTCTCCTTCACACAAATTCAGACAGCTGATGTTTTGAAAGCGCTGCAAAATCTGGACCCCTACAAATCAGCTGGGCTAGACAATCTGGACCCTTTCTTTCTAAAACTAGCCGCCGAAATTGTCGCAACCCCTATTACTAGTCTGTTCAACCTCTCTTTCATAACGTCTGAGATCCCCAGAGATTGGAAAGCTGCCGCGGTCATCCCCCTCTTCAAAGGGGGTGACACTCTAGATCCAAACTGCTACAGACCTATATCCATCCTGCCCTGCCTTTCGAAAGTATTCGAAAGCCAAGTTAACAAACAGATCACCGACCATTTCGAATACCACCGTACCTTCTCCGCTATGCAATCCGGTTTCCGAGCTGGTCACGGGTGCACTTCAGCCACGCTCAAGGTCCTAAACGATATTATAACCACGATTGATAATAGACAGTACTGTGCAGCCGTCTTCATCGACCTGGCCAAGGCTTTCAACTCTGTCAACCACCGCATTCTTATTGGCAGACTAAATAGCCTTGGTTTCTCAAATGACTGCCTCGCCTGGTTCACCAACTACTTCTCAGATAGAGTTCAGTGTGTCAAATCGGAGGGCCTGTTGTCTGGACCTATGGCAGTCTCTATGGGGGTGCCACAGGGTTCAATTCTTGGGCCGACACTTTTCTCCGTGTATATCAATGATGTCGCTCTTGCTGCTGGTGACTCTCAGATCCACCTCTACGCAGACGACACCATTTTGTATACATCTGGCCCTTCATTGGACACTGTGTTAACAAACCTCCAAACGAGCTTCAATGCCATACAACAATCCTTCAGTAGCCTTCAACTGCTCTTAAACACTAGTAAAACTAAATGCATGCTTTTCAATCGAACGCTGCTAGCACCCGCCCACCCGACTAGAATCACCACTCTCGACGGGTCTGACCTAGAGTATGTGGACAACTACAAATATCTAGGTGTCTGGTTAGACTGTAAACTCAACTTCCAGACTCACATAAAGAATCTCCAATCCAAAGTTAAATCTAGAATCGGCTTCCTATTTCGCAACAAAGCCTCCTTCACTCATGCTGCCAAACTTGCCCTCGTAAAACTGACTATCCTACCGATCCTTGACTTCGGCGATGTCATTTACAAAATAGCCTCCAACACTCTACTCAGCAAATTGGATGTAGTCTATCACAGTGCCATCCGTTTTGTCTCCAAAGCCCCATACACTACCCACCACTGTGACCTGTACGCTCTTGTTGGCTGGTCCTCACTACATGTTCGTCGTCAAACCCACTGGCTCCAGGCCATCTATAAATCACTGCTAGGCAAATCCCCGCCTTATCTTAGCTCATTGGTCACCATAGCAGCACCCACCCGTAGTCTGCACTCCAGCAGGTATATCTCACTGGTCATTCCCAAAGCCAACACCTCCTTTGGCCGCCATTCCTTCCAGTTCTCTGCTGCCAATGACTGGAACGAATTGCAAAAATCTCTGAAGCTGGAGACTCTTATCTCCCTCAATAACTTTAAGCATCAGTTGTCAGAGCACCTTACCGATCACTGCACCTGTACACAGCCCATCTGAAATTAGCCCACCCAACTACCTCATCCCTATATTGTTATTTATTTTGCTCTTTTGCACCCCAGTATCTCTATTTGCACATCATCTCTTGCACATCTAGCATTCCAGTGTTAATACTATTGTAATTATTCTGCACTATAGCCTATTTATTGCCTTACCTCCATAACTTGCTACATTTGCACACACTGTATATATATTTTCTGTTGTATTTCTGACTTTGTTTTTTTTACCCCATATGTAACTCTGTGTTGTTTTTATTGCACTACTTTGCTTTATCTTGGCCAGGTCGCAGTTGTAAATGAGAACCTGTTCTCAACTGGCTTACCTGGTTAAATAAAGGTGAAATAAAAAAATAAATAAAAAACAGAGACTGGGTAATGGATGGAAACATATACTGGGTAATGGATGGAAACTGGGTAATGGATGGAAACAGAGACTGGGTAATGGATGGAAACAGAGACTGGGTAATGGATGGAAACAGAGACTGGGTAATGGATGGAAACAGAGACTGGGTAATGGATGGAAACAGAGACTGGGTAATGGATGGAAACAGAGACTGGGTCATGGATGGAAACAGAGACTGGGTAATGGATGGAAACATATACTGGGTAATGGATGGAAACAGAGACTGGGTAATGGATGGAAACATATACTTGGTAATGGATGGAAACAGAGACTGGGTAATGGATGGAAACAGAGACTGGGTAATGGATGGAAACATAGACTGGGTAATGGATGGAAACAGAGACTGGGTAATGGATGGAAACTGGGTAATGGATGGAAACAGAGACTGGGTAATGGATGGAAACAGAGACTGGGTAATGGATGGAAACAGAGACTGGGTAATGGATGGAAACAGAGACTGGGTCATGGATGGAAACAGAGACTGGGTAATGGATGGAAACAGAGACTGGGTCATGGATGGAAACAGAGACTGGGTCATGGATGGAAACATATACTGGGTAATGGATGGAAACAGAGACTGGGTCATGGATGGAAACAGAGACTGGGTAATGGATGGAAACAGAGACTGGGTCATGGATGGAAACAGAGACTGGGTAATGGATGGAAACAGAGACTGGGTAATGGATGGAAACAGAGACTGGGTAATGGTTGGAAACAGAGACTGGGTAATGGATGGAAACAGAGATTGGGTCATGGATGGAAACAGAGACTGGGTAGTCTAATGCCTAGATGAATGCCTAGATACTCAAACTCAATCGTTCAAGAACACAGGTCTACCATTGTCAGTACACCCCCAGGAAATAGCAATGGTATGATCCATCCCCATTATAGATTGACTGAGTGGATTGTTCCATTCCTGTGCAGAGGAGCCGGGGAGATCCCCAGCAGGATAGCATGATACCAGCCCATGTTCCCTGGATATGACTGGATAGAAAGGTTTGTACTACAAGACAGACTTGAGCTTCACTGAGGACTTCCAAAACACCTTTAACATCACACTACTGGCTGAGATGGGAGAGGTCAAGATCTTCAAGGCCATGTGTAAAAGGTAGTGGTTAGGGAAGACACAGGAACTGTCGCCGCCCTGCCGACTACGCCAAATGCAACCAAGACTCCCCTGTCTGTTCTTCCTCTGCGAAATGACTGAAGGCAGCCATCTTGTTTAATAATAATGGATATTGATGCACTGCTGAGGGTTGCCATGCCGATGTTTGATTTGTACTTTACTACTTACTATAATGTAATGGTTTATTGTTTACTTAGTTGATTCATGTACTTTGAATTGATATTGTTGTAACCCTCTCTTCTGAGGGACCTGAGTCCCAATCAGTGTTGGACCTAGTATCTAGGTGTCCGGCAGTATTAGACTATGTGGTCTGTCAGTAGGCAGCATGTGGAAATGAGTGTGAGGTGTGGACATGACCATAAATAAAATAGCGCAGTGCCTCCACCTAGTAGGAATATATCCCTAAAGAATATACCCACACAGTATTTTGGACTATACAATTAAATATCCCTTAACTAGGATAAAGAATAAATATCCCTTAACTAGGATAAAGAATAAATATCCCTTAACTAGGATAAAGAATAAATATCCCTTAACTAGGATAAAGAATAAATATTTGCATGAAAACTAGTCGTCTGTCGTTTAATGATAACAAACAGTTCATTGAACAATAACCAATGAATGGGTGGCGACTTCAGCTACCGAACTTCGACAAGCCTCAAGAAAATATGTGTGTTCGAACAGCCGAAAACCCCCCTGCAGAACACCAAAACGAACCAAAACGTCACATAATGTAGTCATAGTATATACACAAACTGTTTCAACTGGGAAGCATATGGTAAGCTTAATACCTCGCCGGTCCAGACTCCCAAATAGCAACATTCACAAGGGGGCGACAGAGGTTCTTGTTGTCTTCTCATTTGTGGTGAAAGCAAATAAAGAGGCTCTCGTCTTCCCTTGCTAGCAAGTTGGCTAAACACTGCAAGCTAGCTATCCTTTTAGCTTCACACATCTTCAAGTTGGCTAAACCACAGACCGTTATAAATATATCGTTGGTTGAACACTGCAAGCTAGCTATCCTTTTAGCTTCACACATCTCCAGATGAAATAATCTGATTTAGAATTAAATAATATGCCCTGGCAAATATTGTTCTACTTGCCAGTGTAACCTACAACCTTACCCTGATTTGAAATGTTGATTCAATGTATTCCCATACCAGCTAAAAATAGAATGTCCATTTTAGTCAAAGCAACAACAAAAAAGCACATGGCTATCTGTTTTTACATTTTAAAATAGCCTAGAATAATATTATCACTTCTAATCAAAATACATTTTTGGGGGGATTCTAATGAAGGCAACAATGTTGTTTGGTTTATTGTTTGAACAGTCGCTGAGATTATATTTGGTTTAAATGCAAAATAGGCTGCTTATTTAATGCAGAGCTAAATCAAGACGGCGATCTTGAAGTTGATTAGCTTCCCACATAGCCATAAAGGCGCACAGAGAAACTTTCACAATGTGGGCTGTTGGCTGTCCCAGTTGGCTAGATACAGTTCCTTTAGAAAACAGACAACCAAATTCATCCTCCTCAATTTAAAATGGGAAACAGTCCCTAATCACTACTAGCTTACTTTAGCAATTCATCTTTTACAGTCTCTCAGCATAATGATAGCAGTCTCTCAGCATAGTATAGCAGTCAACTCAGCGTAACGATAGCAGTCTCTCAGCGTAACGATAGCAGTCTCTCAGCGTAACGATAGCAGTCTCTCTGCGTAACGATAGCAGTCTCTCAGCGTAACGATAGCAGTCTCTCAGCGTAACGATAGCAGTCTCTCAGCGTAACGATAGCAGTCTCTCAGCGTAACGATAGCAGTCTCTCAGCGTAACGATAGCAGTCTCTCAGCGTAACGATAGCAGTCTCTCAGCGTAACGATAGCAGTCTCTCAGCGTAACGATAGCAGTCTCTCAGCGTAACGATAGCAGTCTCTCTGCGTAACGATAGCAGTCTCTCTGCGTAACGATAGCAGTCTCTCAGCGTAACGATAGCAGTCTCTCAGCGTAACGATAGCAGTCTCTCTGCGTAACGATAGCAGTCTCTCTGCGTAACGATAGCAGACTCTCAGCGTAACGATAGCAGTCTCTCAGCGTAACGATAGCAGTCTCTCTGCGTAACGATAGCAGTCTCTCTGCGTAACGATAGCAGTCTCATTGCGTAACGATAGCAGTCTCTCTGCATAACGATAGCAGTCTCTCTGCGCAACGATAGCAGTCTCTCTGCGTAACGATAGCAGTCTCTCTGCATAACGATAGCAGTCTCTCTGCGCAACGATAGCAGTCTCATTGCGTAACGATAGCAGTCTCTCTGCATAACGATAGCAGTCTCTCTGCGTAACGATAGCAGTATCTCTGCGTAACGATAGCAGTCTCTCAGCGTAAGGATAGCAGTCTCTCTGCGTAACGATAGCAGTCTCTCAGCGTAACGATAGTCTCTCAGCGTAATGATCGCAGTCTCTCAGCGTAACGATAGCAGTCTCTCAGCGTAACGATAGCAGTCTCTCAGCGTAACGATAGCAGTCTCTCTGCGTAACGATAGCAGTCTCTCAACATAACGATAGCAGTCTCTCAGCATAACGATAGCAGTCTCTCAGCATAACGATAGCAGTCTCTCAGCATAACGATAGCAGTCTCTCAGCATAACGATAGCAGTCTCTCAGCATAACGATAGCAGTCTCTCTACGTAACGATAGTCTCAGCATAACGATAGCAGTCTCTCAGCATAACGATAGCAGTCTCTCAGCGTAACGATAGCAGTCTCTCAGCGTAACGATAGCAGTCTCTCAGCGTAACGATAGTCTCTCAGCGTAACGATAGCAGTCTCTCAGCGTAACGATAGCAGTCTCTCAGCGTAACGATAGTCTCTCAGCGTAACGATAGCAGTCTCTCAGCGTAACGATAGTCTCTCAGCGTAACGATAGCAGTCTCTCAGCGTAACGATAGTCTCTCAGCGTAACGATAGCAGTCTCTCAGCGTAACGATAGCAGTCGCTCAGCGTAAGGATAGTCTCTCAGCGTAACGATAGCAGTCTCTCAGCGTAACGATAGTCTCTCAGCGTAACGATAGCAGTCGCTCAGCGTAAGGATTGCAGCCGACAGGCAGAAAGAGGTAACCCGTCAAATTTTACAACGCGACGTCACTATCAGAACACGACCAGAACGATTGGGAACTATTTCATGCTGGTAAGATTTTTACATGACATCCTGCACTAACTGTTCATATATTCACAATTCACTAGTTACACTTTAAACTGCTTCAACCAACTAGTTAGTAACATTGCTTGCTTGCTTGAAGTTTCAGGAGTCCTTGTTTCTCTCCTCTCAATCGCGTCGGACTATTGTCTAGCAACGGTCCGTCTCCCAAAGTATGTCCCACATACAACACAGAAACTAAAGTGGGTTCCACGATGTAATACTTCATATTTTTCCTTTTCTTTAAAACATGTACTTGGAAAGTTTGGATTGATATTATAATGTGTTGCACTTTGCTGTCTTGTTCCAGTTTCTACGGTCAAATAATAATGTGTTATGGATATAGGAAGTCCTAAGCATTCGATTGGTGGATCTGATAACTACATAAACACACTCATACAATTAATTCTTCCAAATCTTTTTTTATTCAGTTGTGACATAATTCCATGACAGTTACTGTGTGATAACAAAACAGCGTGTTGGAACTTTTCCATATGTCGCCGAGGAAGAATACGGTTATAAAATAATACTAAGGTACATTTCCTTAACATCTTAATACATTCCGTAAAATATTGTCATTGATGGACTAAAGGTTTTAGTTGTAATATAAATACAAGACATCCATCAATATTATTTTGACACCAGCAGAGAGAACGGATAGGTTGCCTCCCAAATACCAGCCTGTTCCCTATATAGTGCACTACTTTCAACCCCCCCCCCATAGGGCTCTAGTAAAAAAAGAAGTGCACTATATGGGGAACAGGGTGCTGTTTGGGAGGCAACCAGAGCGATATTAGAGGTTGTTCTGACAGATCTGGAGTCAGTGTTGGGGAGGTGCGGACGGTCCTGTGGTTGATAAAAGTTAAGGCCATTAGGACACTGTCATTGGCAAGGAGAAGACAGAATGAGATCGCTGAACCCTGAACTTCAGACCGAAACTAAAACCCCTAAAACCCTTTATTTACAGTACAGAGAAGGAAAGGAGGGAGAGGGGAGGGAGGGAGGGAGGGAGGGAGGAGAGAGAGAGGGAGGGAGGGAGGGTAGGAGGAGAGGAGGGAGGGAGGGAGGGCAGGGAGGGGAGGGAGGGGAGGGGGGGGCGGAAGAGAGGGATGGAGGGAGGGAGGGAGGAGGGAGGGAGGGAGGGGAGGGAGGGAGGGAGGGGGAGGGGGGAGGGAGGGAGGAAGGGAGGGAAGGAGGGAGGGAGGGAGGAGGAGGAGTGAAAGAGGTCAAACAAACCTAGGACAGGATCACTGTAATCCTGACAATGATGGAGGCTCTTTCCAGGGATTCCAAAAAAGACGCACAGGGATAATGGACAAAAACAACAACAACAACAACAACAACAACAACAACAACAACAACAACAAAAGGGGGTTGAATTTGACATCAGCAAACAAAACAGGTTTACTCTAAAAGACATCCGTCCTCTGTAACTCAGTTGGTAGATGTATCCTACAGAGTACATTTACATATTAGTCATTTTAGCAGACGCTCTTATCCAGAGCGACTTACAGGAGCAATTAGGGTTAAGTGCCTTGCTCAAGGGCACGTCGGCAGATTTTTCACCTAGTCGGCTCGGGGGGGATTAGAACCAGCGACCTTTCGGTTACTAGGGCACAACGCTCTTAACCACTAAAGCTACCTGCCTGCCGCCCCATCTCAAGTCAAATGATCAGCTTCCAAACCAAAAACAGGTTTACTCTAAAAAGACATCCGTACATTTAAAATACATCAGGGAGAACAATAACATGAGAAGTAATATTGCCTCTTTATAATGTGTATTATGATGCATGAATATACATTTCTACAGCCGGGGTTCATTCAGGAGGGTGAAACAGTCACAACGTTGAAAAAATTAAAGAAATGTAACGTAAAAAAAAGATCAAAAACATTCCAGAAACAAACAATCCAAGCCGTTCTGTACATCACATTTCTATCTACAACTGAGCAACAAGTGGAGGGTTTCACAAGAAAGATCTGAAACGTGGCTGGGTTGAAATCATTCACGTTGAGAGAGAGAGAGAGAGAGAGAGGGCAGATTGTTGAGGCATTCAGTCCGACTTGGTAAAAAAAAACGCTGACTGTTTTCAGATGTGTGTTTATGTTTGTGAGGTCAATCCATGACTGTGTGTGTGTGTGTGTGTGTGTGTGTGTGTGTGTGTGTGTGTGTGTGTGTGTGTGTGTGTGTGTGTGTGTGTGTGTGTGTAACCGTGAGTCTAGAAGGGAGTGTAGTCGGCAGGATACATGATGGGCAGCCAGTTCTCTGTGAAAGCGGCACAGTGCATCCATCCCAAGGACCGCATTAGCTGAAACAAACACAGGACGTGATGTCACAATACAGGAAGTAGACCGTCTCCAGAAAGGCTGCTATGCGAATGTCTCTGAGCTTTAAGGCTCTTATGTTCAAGTGTGCTACCAGACACAGTAAAAAATGCTATAAGAAAACTGCTAGTTTAAGTCTTAACAGATAGAAGATCTGTCAGGTAGTTGGACTCTCTTTCTGACCTGGATGCAGTTCTTCAAGTTGTCTTTACTGGGTTTGTCTTCTGCGATCTTGGAGGCGTACTTCAGGGCTCTGCCGTACATCTTATTCACTAGTGCATGTTTGTAGGAGAACGTCAACACCTAGAGGGGGAGGGGATCAAACCATCAAACATTGGGGGGGGAGAGAGATTGATGATTGATGGATTCACATGTAAGGTTACTGTTGCCATTTCATCCACCCGAAACCAAACAAGGAAACAGCTAGCCACGCCTCCTCACCTTCGAGTCAGTTAGCTCCACCCACTTCTGCAGCTCCCAGAAGGTGTCGGTCAAGTCTTTGGCCCTGCCTTGTTGGGCGTCGTCAGAGCTGGTCACCTCCCCCTCTCCAGCCCCAGTCTCTCCCCGGTCTCCACCCCCCTCCCTAGCTTCCCCAGCCTCCCTAGCCTCCCCAGCCTCCCCAGCCTCCCCAGCCTCCCTAGCCTCCCCAGCTCCCCCAGCCTCCCTAGCCTCCCTATCCTCCCCACACCCAAATCATGTCGGCCCATCCTCCCCATCCTCCCCCTCCCCTTCCTTTTTTTACCCCTTCGCATCACCATCACCATGTCATCCATGTCAACAGCCTTCCTGCACATAAATTCGTCCAGCAGGGAGGATTTCTGCTTCTCCATGTCACTGTAGGGACACACAGAAACATACAGTTATATTTGATATAAAATGCCTTACAAATTCTCTATTACACTAGAAATTAGATAAAGGTTAAAGGATATGAAAGGACTGACAACTGGTTGGAACCGGACTGTCTAAGGGTGCGTCCAAAATGGCAGCCTATTCCCCACAGGGCCTCTGGTCTAAAGTAGTGGTACTATATCGGGATCTAGGTTCATAGGGCATCGGTTCTAAAGTCGTGCACTCTATCGGGAATAGGGTGTGTCAATTAAGGTGTCTTGGATCTAACTTTTGTCTATATGGGAATAAGGGATGTCCCAATATGTCTCTGGTCTAAAGTAGTTCCTATATACAGAGGGAAAGGGTGGTGTCCTAAATAATGGCTCTGGTCTAAATAGTGCACTATCATCGGGATAGGGTGTCATAGGAACCTGGTTATAAAGTATGCACTATATATGAATAAGGTGTGTCATAGGCTCTGTTCTAAATTAGTTCACTATATATGTATAAGGGTGTCCTATCTAGGTCTCATGGTCTAAAGTTAATGTGTCCTATATAGGGAATCGGTGTCCTAGGGCCCTCTTGTCTAAGTAGTGCACTATCTATGGAATAGGGTGTCAAGGGCTCTTGTCTGAAAGTATTCACTATATAGGGACTAGGGTGTCATAGGGCTCTCTGTTCTCACGTAGTGCACTATATGGGAATAGGGGTGTCATATGCTCTGGTCAAAGTGTTGTCTATCTATGGAATTAGGGTGTCCATAGGCTCCTGTTTAAAGTAGTGCACTAATAGGTAATAGGGTGTACATAGGGCTCTGTTAGTTAAGTGCACATATAGGTAATATGGTGTCATAGGCATCTGGTCTAAAGTAGTGCACTATATAGGGGAATGATGTGGTTTCATAGGAAAAAGGGCTCTGGTCTACAGTAGTGCAACGATATAGGAAAGGGTTCATAGTGCTCTGGTCTAAAAGTAGTGTCACTATAGGGGATTAAAGAGGGTGTCATAGTGCTCTGGTCCTAAATGTAGTTGTACTATAGTAGGGAATAGTGTTCCATTAGGGCTCTGGTCTTAAAGTAGTGGCACTATATAGGGATAGGTGTCATAGGGACTCTGGTCTAAAAGTATTGCCTATTAGGGAATAGGTGTCATAGGGCTCTCTGGTCGAAAGTAAGTGCTCGTCTCCCTAGGGGCATCCGGGTGTCCTCGAGGCTCTGGTCCTAAAGTAGTGCCCTATCCTCGGGAATGGGTGTCATGGGCTCTGGTCTAAAGTAGTGCAACTATAGAGGGAATAGGGTTTCAAGGGCTCTGGTCTAAAGTAGTGGCCTATATATGGATAGGGTGGTCATAGGGCTCTGGTCTAACGAGTGCACTATATGGGAATAGGGTGTCATAGGGTCCTGGTCTAAAGTAGTGCACTATATAGGGCATAAGGGTGTCATAGGGCTCTGGTCTAAATAGTGTACTATATAGGGAATAGGGTGTCATAGGGCTCTGGTCTAAAGTAGTGTACTATATGGGATAGGGTGTCATAGGCTCTGGTCTAAGTATGCCTATATAGGCGAATAGGTTTTCATAGGACTTGGTCCTAAAGTTGTGCCTATATAGGGAATAGGTTGTCATAGGGCTCTGGTCAAAGTAGTGCACTATATAGGGAATAGGGTCCCATAGGGGGCTCTGGTCCGAAAGTATGTACTATCTAGGGAATATGGTTTCATAGGCCTCTGTCTCTAAAGTAGTGGCCTATTCGGGAAATAGGGTGTCTAGGCTTCTGGTCTAACGTAGTGCACATATAGGGAATAGGGTTTCATAGGGCTCTGGTCTAAAGAGTATTGCACTATATTTAGGGAATAGGGTTCATAAGGGGTCTGGTCTAAATTTAGTGTACTATATAGGGAATAGGGTGTCATAGGGCTCTGGTCTAAAAGTATGCACTATATAGGGAATAGGGTGGTCATAGGAGGGCTCTGGTCTAAAGTAGTGCACTATATAGGGAATGGGTGTCTAGGGCTCTGGTCTAAAGTAGTGCACTATATGGGAATAGCGGTGTCAAGGGTCTCTGGTCTAAAGTAGTGCCCTATATAGGAGAATAGGGTGTTCAATGGCTTTGTCCTAAAGTAGTGCACTATTAGGATAATGGATGCATATTAAGGGCTTTCTTTTCTAATTATTTTCTCCTATTAGGGAATATGGTGTCATAGGTCTCTTGTCTCCCGTAGTGCACTATATAGGGAAATAGGTTTCATAGGGCTCTGGTCTAAAGTAAGTGCACTATATAGGGCACTTAAGGGTGTCAAATAGTGCTCTGGTCTAAGTAGTGGCACTATATAGGGAATAGGTGTCCACTAGGGCTCTGGTCTAAAGTATGCACTAATTATGGAATAGGGTGTCATAGGGCTCTGGTCTAAAGTAGTGTCACTATATAGGGAATAGGTGTCATAGGGCCTGGTCTAAGTAGTGTAATATATAGGGAAAGTGTGTCATAAAGGCTCTGGTCCTAAACAGTGTCCTATAATAGGGAATATGTGTCATAGGCTCTGGTCTAAAGTAGTGTAACTATATAGGGAATAGGGTGTCATATACGGGCTCTGGTCTACAAAGTAGTGGCACTATATAGGAATAGGGTGTCATAGGGCTCTGGTCTAAAGTAGTGCACTATATAGGTTGAATAGGGTGTCCATAGGGCTCGGTTTCTAAAGTATTTATTCTATATAGAATGGGTGTCATAGGGCTCTGGTCTAAAGTATTGCAACTATAATATGGAATAGGGTGCCTATGGCTCTGGTCTAAAGTAGTTTACGATATAGGGAATAGGGTGTCTAGGCTCTGTTCTCTACGTAGTGTACTATATAGTAATAGGGTTGTCATAGGGCTCTGGTCTAAAGTAGTGCACTATATAGGAAATAGGGTTTTCATAAAGGGCTCTCTTCTAGTCCTAAGTAAGTGCAACATATAGGGAATAGGTTTTCATAGGGCTCGGCTAAGTAGTGTAACTATATAGGGAATGAGGGTGGTCAATAGGGCTCGGTCTAAGTAGTGCACTATATAGGAATATTAGTGTCATAGGGCCTCCTGGTTTTAAAGTAGTGTACTAATAGGGAATAGGAGGTTGTCCATAGGGTCTCTGGCTCTCCCGCTGTTGTCCTCTCTCGGGCCTGCGGGTGTCCTAGTGCTCTGGTCTCGTCATTGTCACTCTCTATGTCCCCTAGTGTTCTATGTCTCTTGGTATAACAGTCGTTGCACTATAATAGGGAATCGGGTGGTCATAGGGCTCGTTCTAAAGTAGTGTACTATATAGGGAATAAGGGGTCATAGGGCTCTGGTCTAAAGAGTGGCATATATAGGGAATAGGTGGCTAGGGTACTCTGGTCTAAAGAGTGTACTATATAGGGAATAGGGTGTCATAGGGCCTCTGGTCTAAAGTAGTGCACTATATAGGGAATAGGGTGCCATAGGGCTCTGGTCTAAAGTGTGTACTATGTAGGGAATCTGTTGTACATAGGTCTCCCTGGTCAAAGTCGTGCACTATCTAGGGAAATAGGTGTCATCGGCTCTTGGTCAAGATAGTGTACTATATAGGGGAATAGATGTGTCATAGGCTCTGTTCTAAGTTGTGCCCTATAATAGGGAATAGGGTGTCATAAGGGCCTCTGGTCTAAAGTAGATGCCGAATAGGGGGGGTGTCCCCATAGGGCTCTGGTCTAAAGTAGTGCACTATTAGTGAATAGGTGCATAGGGCTCTGGGTCTAAAGTAGTGTCATCTATATTCGAATACCGGGAGCAGTATTCGCTGGTCTCAAGTATGCACTCTATAGGGAACGGGTGCCTAGGCTCGGGGTCGCAAAAGGTATGCACTTTCATAGGGAATAGGGTGTCCACTAGGGCTCTGGGCTAAAGTAGTGCACTATATAGGGAATAATGGGGTCATAGGGCTCATGGTCTAAAGTAGTTACTATATAGGGATAGGGTGTCATTAACGGGCCTGGTCTAAAGTAGGAGGGCACTATATAATGGAATATGTGGTTGTCATCGGGCTCTGAGTATGCATACAAGTCCTGTCCTCTCTCGGTACTCGGGTGCCAAGGGCCTCTGGTCTTCAAATTAGTGACCTATAGATGGCAAGGGTGTCCATATGGCTCTGTCTAAAGTATTGCACTAATATCGGGGATAGGGTGTCATCAAGGATCGGTCTAAAATTAGTCCACTATATAGGGAATAGGGTGTCAGTAGGGCTCTGGTCTCCAAGTATGTACTATATATGAATGGGTGCCATAGAGCCCTGGTCTAAAGTAGTGCACTATAACTAGGGAAAGATTGTCTAGGCTCTGGTCTAAAAAGTATTGCACTATATAGGGAATAATGGGGTCATAGTCTCTGTCTAAAGTAGTGCCCTATATAGGGATAGGGGGTTCAAAGGGCTCTTGGTCTAAAGTAGTGCCTATACAGGGAAATAGGGTGTCATAGGGCCTGGTCTAAAAGTGTGCACTATTAGGGAATAGGTGTCATAGGGCTCTGGTCTCAAGTAGTGCAACTATATAGGGAATAGGGGTGTCATAGGGCTCTCTGGTCTAAAGTAGTGCACTATTAGGAAATAGGGTGGTCATAGGGCCTGGTCTAAAGTAGTGCACTATATAATAGGGAATAGGGTGTCCATAAAGGCTCTGGTCTACCATTCCGTGGCCTCTCTCGGGGCCTCGGGTGTCATCCCAGGGCTCTGTTCTACCCTTCCGTGCACCCTCTCTACGGGACTGGGTGTCTAGGGCTCTCTGGTCTAAAGTAGTGCACATATAGGGAATATGGTGTCATAGGGCTCTGGTCTAAAGTAGTTCACTATATATGGAAAGGGTGTCATAGGGCTCTTGTCCTAAATTAGTGCACTAATATAGGGAATAGATGTGTCATAGTGCTCTGGCTCTAAAGTAGTGTACTATATAGGGAATAGGGTGTCATAGGGCTCCTGTCTACAGCAGTGCACTATATAGGGAATAGGGTGCCATAGGGCTCTGGTCTAAAGTAGTGTACTATATAGGAATAGGGTGTCATAGGCTCTGGTCTAACGTAGTGCACTATGATAGGAATAAGGGGTGGCATCGGGCTCTGGTTCTAAGTAAGTGTACTATAAAGTGAATAGGGTGGTCATGAAGGGCTCTGGTCTAAAGTAGTGCACTATATATGGATAGTGGTGTCATTAGGGAAGAAACGGACCGAAAACAACCGCGGGGGGGGGGAGATAAGGGGGAATTTAAAGCGGGTCTAGACGTTTTCTACAGTAGTGTGACTATATAGGGCATACGTCGGGTGTCCTAGGTCTCTGGTCTCCCCTTCTGTACTCTGTCCGGGCCTCGGCGGTGTCCTCGGGCTCTTGTCTCCCCGCTCTGCCTATAATAGGATAATGGTGCCATAGGGCTCTGGTCTAAGTGTGTACGATATAGGAATAGGAGTGTCATAGTGCTCGGGGCTAAAGTAGATGTCCTATTGAGAATAGGGTTCATAAGGGCTCCTGTTCTAAAGTAGTGCACTATATAGGGATAGGTGTCATAGGCTCGGTCTTAAAGTAGTTGCACTATATATGAATAGGTTGTCATAAGGGCTCCTGGGTCTACGTAGTGTACTATATGGGGAATAGGGTGTCATATGTCGCTGGTCTAAAGTAGTGCCAACTATATGTAGGGATATGGTGTCATAGGGCTCTGGTCAAGTATGTACTTATAGGGAACTAAGGGTGTCATAGGCTCTGGGTCCTAAAGTAAGTGTACTATATAGGGATAGGGTGTCAGAGGCTCTGGCTAAAGTAGTGTAGGCTATATGGGAATAGGGTGTCATAAAGGGCTCTGGTCTAATTAGTGCCTAGATAGGGAATAGTGGTGTCATTAGGGCTCTGGTCCTAAAGTAGTGTACTATATGGGAATAGGGTGTCATAAGGCTTCTGGGTCTAAAGTAGTGCACTATATGAGGGAATAGGGGGCATGGGCTCTTGGTCTAAAGTAATTGTACTATATAGGATAGGGTGTCATAAGGGCTCCGGTCAAAGTAGTGTCACTAGATAAGGGAATAGGGTGCCATAGGGCTCTGGTCTAAAGTGTGTACTATAGGGGTAGGGTGTCATAGGGCTCTGGTCTAAAGTAGGTGGCACTATATAGGGAATAGGGTGTCATAGGGCTGCTGGTCTAAGTGGTGTACTATATAGGGAATAAATGGGTGTCTAAGGGCTCCTGGTCTAAATTAATGCACTATATAGGGAATGGGTGTCATAGGGCCTCTGGTCTTCAATAGTGCACTATATAGGTGTCCCTAGGCCTCTGGTCTAAAGAGTGCACTATAATAGGGAAATAGGGTGTCATAGGCCTGTCTAAAGTAAGTGTACTCTCGTAGGGAATAGGTGTCATACAATTAAGTGCTCTGGTCTAAAGTAGTGCTCTATATACGTGAATGGCCGTGCCTAGGGCTTCTTGTCTAAATTTAGTTTGCACTATATGGATAGGTTCTTCATATGTCTCTTGTCTCCAGTAGTGCACTATATAGGGAATAGGTGTCTGGGCTCTGGTCTACAAGTAGTGTACTATATAGGAATCAGGTTGTCATAGGCTCTGGTCTAAGAGTATTGTACTATATAGGGGATAGGGTGTCCAAGAAGTGCTCTGGTCTATAGTAGTGCACTATATGGGATAGGGGTGTCATAGGGCTCTGGTCTAAAGTATTGCAGACTATATAGGGGAATAGGGTGTGCAGGGCTCTGGTCTAAAGTAGTGCACTAATAATGGAATAGGTGTGTCAACTAAGGGCTCTTTTGTTTCTAAGTAGTGTACTTCCGATATAGACAGGGTGCCATTTGGGATACGGTCTAAGACTCAGTGGTGTACCTCTTGATGGTGGCAGCGTCGGGGCGAGGGTCGGTCTTTATGGTGAGGTAGACCGCCAGGGCAGTCTGGTCAATCCGAGACAGAACCATGTCAGAGGCCGTCACGATGTCACCCAGGCGCATCAAACGCTCCTACAGAGAGAGAGTACAGGGTTAGACGCGACTAATCGACAGCAGAGAGAGCACAGGGTTAGACGCGACTAATCGACAAAGCAAGAGAGCTCAGGGTTAGACATGACAATCGCAGCAAAGAGAGCTCACGGTATAGACCTTATAATCGACAGCAGAGAGAGTAACCAGGGTAGACTCGAACTAATCTGACGCAGGAAGTTAACAGTGTTAGAACGCGACTAACTTCACAGCATATAGAGAGTGCAGGGTTAGACGCGACTAATCAACAGCAGAGAGTCTCAGGGTTACGCGACTAATGCAGCCAGGAGTCTATGGTTTAGACACACGACTAATCGACAGCAATATAGCTCTAGTTTAGACAATGACTATCGACAGCAGAGAGAGTACAGGGTTAGACGCGACTAATCGACAGCAGAGAGAGACAGGGTTAGACGCGACTAATCGACAGCAGTGAGAGCTCAGGGTTAGACATGACTAATCGACAGCAGAGAGAGCCTCAGGGTTAGACGCGACTAATCGACAGCAGAGAGAGTACAGGGTTAGACACGACTAATCGACAGCAGAGAGAGTACAGGGTTAGACTGACTAATCAACAGCAGATAGTGTGTGTACCTTCTCAGAGTCCAGCTGGTGCAGCCTCTGAACATGCAGTGGCAGGTAAGAAGAGAAGTTCTCCGTTCATTCATCATACAGGTAGCTGGTGTCTAACCTGGGGATTGAGGGGACCGAGGGGGAGGGGGAGAGATGAGGGAGAGAGAGAGAGGGGGGCTAGAGAGAGATAGATAGAGAGAGAGACCAGAGACAGAGACAGATCCCTAGAGGCAGAGAGACAGAGAGAATCGAGAGAGAGAGAGAGGAGATGATAGAGATAAGAGAGAGAAGAGGCATAGGCGACCAGAGAGAGAGAGGGATAGAGGGAGAGAGACCGAGACGAGACAGAGAACGAAGAGATAATAGAGAGATATATAGAAGAGAGAGATATAGACAGAGACCGAGAGAAAGAGACAGAGCAGAGGACAGAGAGAGATAGAGAGAGAGACAGAGAGATACAGAGAACATAGAGCATGAGAGATAGAGAGAGAGAGAGAGAGATAGATAGAGCGATAGGAGAAGAGAGAGAGAGAGACAGAGCATAGACAGATACAGAGACAGAGACAAGAGAGCGAGCGAGAGAGAGAGAGCGAGTGTGAATAACACGACTATCTCTCTCTACTCTCTCATACAGATCGAGATATCGATAGAGACAGTTGTTCTAGACCCAAACCCTACACATAGTACACTGTACTTGTTCCATCCCACTCTGTATCTTTCATGTCTCTGCTAGCCTTCTGGCAAACTCCCTCCTCCACATTCCTTCTCCTTTCGCTCACCTCCTTCTCTTCTCTCCTTCCTTCCTCCTTCGCGTCCCATTCCTTCTCCTTCCTCCCTCTCCCCTCCCTCCTTCCTTCCTTCGTTCCGCGTCCTTTCTTGGTCTTGTTGGGTGCAGGGATCAGGTGGTAGACCACTGGCACAATGTCCTGATCAGAGAAAGACACAAAACACTGGTTAACCCTCTAGGACTACATTACCCAGAAGCCTCTACAACAGTTCCCTGCTGACTGTCCAATCCCTTGTTCACGTCGAGTTAGAATGACTTCCTGGTGATGATAGAACACATCTTCGCTGCCATATTGACCACCAGGAGAAAATAACATCTAACCTAGTAAGCAGAAATATCTACACACGTTGGGCTAGCAAATACCTTCCTTCTTCCCCACAGTGATTCAGAACATTAAATAAACAGCAAGTTATTTAACCCGCAGTACACCTTTTTTTTTTATTTTTTCCCTCCTTGTCGTTTTGCAGAGGCCTGTCCCTGGTGGTCAGAATAACACACAGTGAGAGAGAGAACACAGGAAGGTACAGCAGCATATCGCTTCTCTTTCTTCCTTACCCTTCCTTATCTATCCCCCCCGTCTCTCTTCTCTTTCTTCCCTTTCCCCCTTCCTTATCTATCCCCCCTTTTCTCTTCTCTTTCTCTTCCTTCCCTATCCCCCTCTCTCTTTTTTCCTTACCCCTTCCTTATCTATCCCCCGTCTCCTCTTCTCTTTCTTCCTTACCCTTCCTTATCTATCCCCCGTCTCTCTCTTCTCTTTCTTCCTTACCCTTCCTTATCTATCCCCCGTCTCTCTTCTCTTTCTCCTTACCCTTCCTTACTTCCCCCCCGTCTCTCTTCTCTTTCTTCCTTACCCTTCCTTATCCATCCCCCGTCTCTCTTCTCTTTCTCTTCCTACCCTTCCTTACTTCCCCCGTCCTCTCTTCTCTTTCTTCCTTACCCTTCCTTATCTAAACCCCCGTCCTCCCCTTCTCTTTCTTCTTCTTTCCCCTTTCCCTTTTCTATCCCCCGTCTCTCTCTTCTCTTTCTTTTCCTTACCCCCCTTTCCCTTTTCTATCCCCCCCCTCTCTCCCTTTTCTTTCTTCCTTACCCTCCTTTATCTTCCCCCTCTCTCTTCTCTTTCTTCCTTACCCTTCCTATCTATCCCCCCCCGTCTCTCTTCTCTTTTTTTCCTTACCCCTTCCTTTTCTATCCCCCCTTCTCTCTTCTCTTTCTTCCTACCCTTCCTTATCTATCCCCCCTCTCTCTTCTCTTTCTTCCTTACCCTTCCTTATCTATCCCCCGTCTCTCTTCTCTTTCTTCCTTACCCTTCCTTATCTATCCCCCGTCTCTCTTCTCTTTCTTCCTTACCCTTCCTTATCTATCCCCCTTCTCTCTTCTCTTTCTTCCTTCCCCTTCCTTATCTATCCCCCTCTTTCTCCTTACCCTTCCTTACCCATCCCCTCCTCTTCTCTTTCTTCCTTACCCTTCCTTATCTATCCCCCCCCTCTCTTCTCTTTCTTCCTTACCCTTCCTTATCTAATCCCCCTTCTCTCTTCTCCTTTCTTCCTTACCCTTCCTTATCTATCCCCCGTCTCTCTTCTCTTTCTTCCTTACCCTTCCTTATCTATCCCCCCTTCTCTCTTCTCTTTCTTCCTTACCCTTCCTTATCTATCCCCCCTCTCTCTTCTCTTTCTTCCTTACCCTTCCTTATCTATCCCCCTCTTTTCTTCCTTCCACCTTCCTTATCATCCCCGTCTCTCTTCTCTTTCTTCCTTACCCTTCCTTTTCCTACCCCTTCTCTCTTCTCTTTCTTCCTTACCCTTCCTTATCCCCCTTCTCTCTTTCTTCTCCTTACCCTCCTTATCTATCCCCCCCCCGTCTCTCTTCTCTTTCTTCCTTTCCCCCTTCCTCTCTATCCCCCTTCTCTCTTTTTTCCTTCCTTTCCTTCTTAAACCCCCCGTCTTTCTTCCTTACCCTTTCCCTTATCCATCCCCCCCCCTCTTCTCTTCTTTCTTCTTTCTTCTTTTTTTCCCTTACCCTTCCTTATCTATCCCCCTTCTCTCTTCTCTTTCTTCTTTTCCCTTACCCTTCCTTATCTAATCCCCCCCCCGTCTCTCTTTCTCTTTTTTTCCCTTTCCTTACCCTTTCTTTTATCCCCTCTCTCCCAGGATGAAGCCCATCAGCAGTAACCCTGCATGTTATCCCCTCATTAACTGACCAGGATGAAGCCCAGTCAGTCATGTAACCCTGCATGTTTTTCCCTCATTACTGCCAGGATGAAGCCCAGTCAGTCAGTCAGAAAACCCTGATGTTACCCCTCATTACTGACCAGGATGAAGCCCAGTCGTCGTAACCCTGCATGTTATCCCCCTCTTACTGACCAGGATGAAGCCCAGTCAGCCCTCATAACCCTGCATGTTACCCCCTCATTCTGCCAGGATGAAGCCCGTCATCAGTCAGAACAGTATCCCCTCATTACCTGGACCAGGATGAACCCAGTCAGTCCAGTAACCCTGCATGTTATCCCCTCATTACTGACCAGGTGATGAAGCCCAGTCAGTTCAGTCAGTAACCCTGACATGTTATCCCCCTCATTACTGACCAGGATGAAGCCCAGTCAGTCAGTAACCCCGCATGTTATCCCCTCATTACTGACCAGGATGAAGCCCAGTCAGTCAGTCAGTAACCCTGCATGTTATCCCCTCATTACTGTACCAGGATGAAGCCCAGTCCGTCAGTCAGTAACCCTGCATGTTATCCCCCTCATTACTGACCAGGGGGATGAAGCCCAGTCAGTCAGTAACCTGCATGTTATCCCCTCATTACTGACCAGGATGAAGCCCAGTCAGTCAGTCAGTAACCCTGCATGTTATCCCCTCATTACTGACCAGGATGAAGCCCAGTCAGTCAGTCAGTAACCCTGCATGTTATCCCCTCATTACTGACCAGGATGAAGCCCAGTCAGTCAGTCAGTAACCCTGCATGTTATCCCCTCATTACTGACCAGGATGAAGCCCAGTCAGTCAGTCAGTAACCCTGCATGTTATCCCCTCATTACTGACCAGGATGAAGCCCAGTCAGTCAGTCAGTAACCCTGCATGTTATCCCCTCATTACTGACCAGGATGAAGCCCAGTCAGTCAGTCAGTAACCCTGCATGTTATCCCCTCATTACTGACCAGGATGAAGCCCAGTCAGTCAGTCAGTAACCCTGCATGTTATCCCCTCATTACTGACCAGGATGAAGCCCAGTCAGTCAGTCAGTAACCCTGCATGTTATCCCCTCATTACTGACCAGGATGAAGCCCAGTCAGTCAGTCAGTAACCCTGCATGTTATCCCCTCATTACTGACCAGGATGAAGCCCAGTCAGTCAGTCAGTAACCCTGCATGTTATCCCCTCATTACTGACCAGGATGAAGCCCAGTCAGTCAGTCAGTAACCCTGCATGTTATCCCCCTCATTACTGACCAGGATGAAGCCCAGTCAGTCAGTCAGTAACCCTGCATGTTATCCCCTCATTACTGACCAGGATGAAGCCCAGTCAGTCAGTCAGTAACCCTGCATGTTATCCCCTCATTACTGACCAGGATGAAGCCCAGTCAGTCAGTCAGTAACCCTGCATGTTATCCCCTCATTACTGACCAGGATGAAGCCCAGTCAGTCAGTAACCCTGCATGTTATCCCCTCATTACTGACCAGGATGAAGCCCAGTCAGTCAGTCAGTAACCCTGCATGTTATCCCCTCATTACTGACCAGGATGAAGCCCAGTCAGTCAGTCAGTAACCCTGCATGTTATCCCCTCATTACTGACCAGGATGAAGCCCCAGTCAGTCAGTAACCCTGCATGTTATCCCCTCATTACTGACCAGGATGAAGCCCAGTCAGTCAGTCAGTAACCCTGCATGTTATCCCCTCATTACTGACCAGGATGAAGCCAGCAGTCAGTCAGTAACCCTGCATGTTATCCCCTCATTACTGACCAGGATGAAGCCCAGTCAGTCAGTCAGTAACCCTGCATGTTATCCCCCTCATTACTGACCAGGATGAAGCCAGTCAGTCAGTCAGTAAACCATGTCATGTTATCCCCTCATTACTGACCAGGATTGAAGCCCAGTCAGTCCAGTAACCCTGCATGTTATCCCCTCATTACTGACCAGGATGAAGCCCCCAGTTCAGTCAGTAACCCTGCATTGTTATTCCCCTTCATTACTGGACCAGGATTTGAAGCCCAGTTCAGTCAGTAACCCTGCATGTTTATCCCCTCATTACTGACCAGGATGGAAGCCCAGTCAGTCAGTCAGTAACCCTGCATGTTATCCTCATTGACTGACCAGGATGAAGCCCAGTCAGTCAGTAACCCTGCAGTTATTCCCTCATTACTGACCAGGAGAAGGCCCCAGGCAGTCAGAACCCTGCATGTTATCCCTCATTACGACCAGGATGAGCCCAGTCAGTCAGTCAGTAACCCTGCATGTTATCCCCTCATTACTGACCAGGATGAAGCCCAGTCAGTCAGTCAGTAACCCTGCATGTTATCCCCTCATTACTGACCAGGATGAAGCCCAGTCAGTCAGTAACCCTGCATGTTATCCCCTCATTACTGACCAGGATGAAGCCCAGTCAGTCAGTCAGTAACCCTGCATGTTATCCCCTCATTACTGACCAGGATGAAGCCCAGTCAGTCAGTCAGTAACCCTGCATGTTATCCCCTCATTACTGACCAGGATGAAGCCCAGTCAGTCAGTAACCCTGCATGTTATCCCCTCATTACTGACCAGGATGAAGCCCAGTCAGTCAGTAAACCCTGCATGTTATCCCCTCATTACTGACCAGGATGAAGCCCAGGTCAGTCAGTAACCCTGCATGTTATCCCCTCATTACTGACCAGGATGAAGCCCAGTCAGTCAGTCAGTAACCCTGCATGTTATCCCCTCATTACTGACCAGGATGAAGCCCAGTCAGTCAGTAACCCTGCATGTTATCCCCTCATTACTGACCAGGATGAAGCCCAGTCAGTCAGTCAGTAACCCTGCATGTTATCCCCTCATTACTGACCAGGATGAAGCCCAGTCAGTCAGTCAGTAACCCTGCATGTTATCCCCTCATTACTGACCAGGATGAAGCCCAGTCAGTCAGTCAGTAACCCTGCATGTTATCCCCTCATTACTGACCAGGATGAAGCCCAGTCAGTCAGTCAGTAACCCTGCATGTTATCCCCTCATTACTGACCAGGATGAAGCCCAGTCAGTCAGTCAGTAACCCTGCATGTTATCCCCTCATTACTGACCAGGATGAAGCCCAGTCAGTCAGTAACCCTGCATGTTATCCCCTCATTACTGACCAGGATGAAGCCCAGTCAGTCAGTCAGTAACCCTGCATGTTATCCCCTCATTACTGACCAGGATGAAGCCCAGTCAGTCAGTAACCCTGCATGTTATCCCCTCATTACTGACCAGGATGAAGCCCAGTCAGTCAGTAACCCTGCATGTTATCCCCTCATTACTGACCAGGATGAAGCCCAGTCAGTCAGTAAGGCAGTTATCCCCTCATTA